GAGGGCCGCGCCGGGCCGCGGCCTGGAAGCAGGGCCATGAACCGGGCAGCGGCCCGGACTGTGGCCCGCATTAAAAGTTAAATATGGAAAAAGACTCAGTAAAACGAAAACCTGCACTGGAATTTACCGAAAATCAGGATTTTTCTATTAGTTTTTCTTAATTTTCTCAGCATGCAACGTTTTTTAAGATCCATGTACGCGTATTTTTCTGCTGACTTGCCTTCTGTAGCCGCGTGCATAACGACATTATGGGAAAGAAGTAATACTGTCCTGGAAGACGGCCCGGGCCGTGCAAACCCAGAGGCCACGGCCCTGACTCTTGCTCGGGCCGGGCCGAACATTGGTTGGTGTTGAATCTTTTCGTACAGCATCGTACAGCATCGCAATCATAAAAACGACTGCGTGGTGATCTTTTCGTATTCTTTTAAACAAAATTCACTAGCTCGCTTTTCACTTCCGCTCACATAACCAGTTCTCGTACCTTTGGCGATCTGCAATAAGTGCCCATCATACTGACAGCACGGGACTAACCTGTTTAAATGACTGGAAGTAGGGTTGTCATCACGTCATCACACGCGCTATCACAATCACGCCGATTTCCTGTTCACAATCCTATCATGCCGAAAAATTTTAGCAGTGATAATGCGAAGTGATGAGTGATGGGAAGCGACAAAGCGTACCGTGATGGCCAGAATGCTCAAGGCCTTGCTTATAAATTTTCCCCATACGGCATTCGCCTGAATTAAAAAGGAGAAAGACTTTTTAGCGCGCATAACTTATGAGGCATAACTGACGCACAGTAAAGTTTGCCGCTAAAACACAAACTTTTGGCACTGGGAAATCATCCCATCACTTCCCAATCCACCACAATACAATTGGTTGGTTGATAATGCATTTCTCACATGTGATAACTACTGTATTTTTACAACATTCATACTTTATGAAAACAGTAAAATAATTTTTTTTCCAAAGCATAATTCATTAAAATTCATTTTACTTTCGTCCCACCAATCCCACTATTCCCATCAATTCACGTTCCCCTTCCCATCCCATCCCACCTCAAAAATCACGGTGGGATGACAACCCTAACTGGTAGTGTAATTAATGTGTAAATAGAATTATATTGTTCAGTTTTTGCGCTCGTTGTATTGTGCCGTGAAGGAATGCTGACAAAATCTACACACGGTTTGAAAGTTGGATAATTAGTAAGCATGGTCTGAAATGCGCTCTTCTCAGCGGAGGCTGTTAAATCGACTGGCGATTGACTATACCAATTATGTAGCTTACAAGGTGCATGTAACATGTTGTATTTGATTGGAGGCAATAAGGGCTGGGCAAAACGACAAGCCAAGATGTCCGCATTCAAGCAAAGATTTTGTAACCATGCTAAAAGGGACAGCTTGATATAAGTGGTTGTATAACTTGCACTGGCCAAGTACTGGCAAGCTGCGACACGCTTGTTTGATAAAGAGCCATGTTTTTATCGAGAAGACATAGGCGACATTTGTAAGTACTTATTGTCGTCACCTGGCTGGAGAAAGACGTTGCGGCAGTACATACGATTAAATCAGGTGCGGTAAATAAGCACCATGTTTAGCCACCTCGTAAAATACCAGCCGGCTGACCGCAATAAGTACAGAGAGCTTGCCTAAGTAACTGCCAGTCCCTTTTATTCAAATAAAAAATGAATCAGTAAAAAATGTATTTACTGACATGTACACATATGTACATGTACATGCTCCCTTAACCTGCAAATAAAATCATTTTCTCGCAATCGAGGAAGGCACTATCTATTCTGAGCGAAACTGGTGCACCAGACACACTTTTACAGCAATATGGGAGTTCAGTTTCTTTGCTACTGGATAGGAGATGGTGCACCTGAAAGGGTTCTATAGTTCTACGAGAAACTTACTTGTTGCGGCAGTGGTAGATGTAGGATACCGTACGCATTTGGTCCCGCTGGCATCTTGATAGGCCAACGAGCTGTCGCATACGCATTTCCCATTGCTATCACAAATCGAAGACGAGTCCGCGCAACGGTGCCCAATTCCAGCACAATGACAATGCAGGGCTGCATTGGCGGTGGATCCGGCGCACGCCATTTCAAAGGCAACGTCCGAGGGACTGCCGACGTCCACCGGCTTCCGCGTTAATGCCGGTGAGTCAATTTAGCCGTTGGCAGCGGACAGCGGGGAGGGTGCAGGCAGTTGTCCGGCATTTTGCCGGAGAAAATTCAACCGGCCGAGTGGGAGAGCTAACTGGCCAGCTGACTGCTTAACACACAAGGCTAAGCTACATAAGATGGCATACAAAACGAAAATATTTCTGGACATTTTGCCACAATTACTTCGCAGTAGCATTCGCAACTAACCAGAACTGTAACAGAAACGTAGAGAGTGACAGAACGTTCAAAGTTTAAAGTAGAACTGTTGCGTAGAAGTTTAGACTGATGTATTTCGAGCAACCATGGAAGGCAACTCATCAACACGGTGTTCAGAGCGCCCAAGGGCCAGACCTTGACCCATGTATGATAGCCAGTTCCTGGCTGGCTCAGCAATCTAACTGGCAAATGTTATAGTGGCGGTGATAGGTTGAAGGTGCTTTGTTACAGCAATGCATTAACGCCAGAATGCGGTCGAAAGTAGAAACTGCCTGTTATTAATGATCATAGGTCAAGGTCTGGCCCTGGGGCGCTGAGAAGGCACCTACAACTTGTCACTGCCACTAAAATACGTTCAGCCAGTTAGATTGTGGGGCTAGCTAGAAACTGTCTATTCAGGGGTCAAGGTCTGGCCTTGGAGCGCTTTGAACACTCTGCTGATAAACTGCCTTCCATGTCTGATGGAAATACATCTAACCTTTAATGTCTATGTTTTCTGTAACAGTTCTGGTTAGTTGCTAGAGCTAATGCGAAATAATTGTCCAAAAATGTCCAGAAACATTTTCTTTTTGTATGCCATCTTATGTAGCTTAGCCTTGTGTGTTAAGCAGTCTGCTGGCCAGTTAGCTCTCCCACTCGGCCGGTTGAACTTTCTCCGGCAAAATGCCGGTTTTTCTGCCTGCACCCTCCCCGCTGTCCGCTGCCAACGGCCAAATTGACTCACCGGCATTAACGCGGAAGCCGGTGGACGTCGGCAGTCCCTCGGACGTTGCCTTTGAAATGGCGTGCGCCGGATCCACCGCCAATGCAGCCCTGCATTGTCATTGTGCTGGAATTGGGCACCGTTGCGCGGACTCGTCTTCGATTTGTGATAGCAATGGGAAATGCGTATGCGACAGCTCGTTGGCCTATCAAGATGCCAGCGGGACCAAATGCGTACGGTATTCTACAACTACAACTGCCGCAACAAGTACGTTTCTGTGGAATTGTATAACGTTTCTGGTGCGCATTCTGCCGCCCTGCAGTGAGGAAACAGTTGCATGTATTTTGCTGCAAAAGTGCTTCCGCTGCACCCAATTTGCTTAAAGGAGTGAAAATCCTGGAAAGTTCACAAGCTTGCCTTTGTTTCAAAGCTTAAATAACTTTATAATACTACCATACTAATTACTAGTCGAACAGTACAGGGTTCTTGTGTACTTCCGTACTGGTAATGCCACCGTGAAATGAACCGGCCTTCTGTAGTACGTTTTCTATGACTAGAGCGGCTGCGCAACGATACGTACACAGTACACACACTACACACCATATGTGGTCAGCGTGGTCAGTTGTCTTGTCGATAGGAACGTCCTGTTTTTCGCCAACGAGCTGCTGTCAGTTTCCCGGGGCATGACCAACCGTTCTTCATGGGTAGTTACTACTTTACTAGCATAATTAACAAGTTGTACCTGTATTGGACCTCATTAATTGTCAAAGACTCGATAGCTGAAGTCAAACCTATTGGCTAGAGAGATACTGTATAGTGTATTTACCATGGTTACCAAACTTTCCTCTAAATACGGACATCTGGCTGTAAAGCCCAACCCTTTCTTCTGTCAGTCAAACCTACCATGTAGTTGTAGATTTGACAGACTCATTTGTTGATAGATTGCACATTATGAGCTAACTGCCTCGATGAATCACCAAACCGACTAAGCAGACTCGGCAAAGAAGAGTGTTTTATTTAATTCTGATTACAAATTCAGCCAATCTCCAACATCGTTTATCAAAAATTTAGATGACCTGAAGTTAGGTAAGGGCAACCGGCAAGCGTTTTGGCTAGGTAAGGGCAACCGGCAAGCGTTTTGGCAAGCTCTAGTAAAGATAGCCACAGTAATTACTAACATATTCATGTGAGTAATAAGCAAAAATCTCTTCATGGCTCAGTTGAGTGGAAATGATATACAGTACATAATTCTATTACGAAAATGTCATGCTATTGATTTTACTGATTGGTTGGAGCAGGAAAGTAAGAGATGAGGGTGTAACCAATACCTGTGATGCTTTACACTTTATAAATCAGCACATTTATTGGAAATTAGCCTAATTAGAAATATTTTGTTTAGCTTTTAAATGATATAACGCAAACGAGCACTTCTATATGTTTAAACCAAGCGCTAGCGATTGAAGCGTAACAGGGTTTGTGCTGCACGGTGCCTATGGAATGCACGATTAAATTTCTGACCGCTGACTAATTGACTAATTTTCTAATTTTAACTTTAATTTTTTTACAGATATTATTTTGCAGTCATATATCCATGTCGGTCACGCGCAATAGGTGTGAATTGAACTTTTTTCAGTTTGCCGGTGAGATTTTTTTGATTAGCGGATCAGCGGAAGCGAGAAGGGGGTCTGAATTTTGTAGAAATCTACGTCCGTTTTAAAGAGTATACAAAGGTCATCGTTTGATACACCCATAAATTTATAAACAAATACAGTTTCTTGGATATGGATGAGGCGCTTGTCATTGGCGGCTTGTCCATTTTTCCGTGAATGCGCGTACAGGAGTTATGAGCTTTAAAAGCAGCACCTTCGATCTGTACTTCTATAAAAAGCGATAGTACATTGTTTGCTTTTCCGGCAGCTCGGCCAACATGCCCGGTCTGCCCGGTTACATCGTGCCCGAGTACCACTTGTCCAGTGTGTACCACCCGCGCACCCGCATGCCCGGCATCATCCACATCCACGACGACTGCATCCATGACAACTTCTTCCACGACAACGACAACCACGACCACAACGACGGCGCAGGATACAAGATGCGCTGCAGAGGGCGTGCTGCAGAGCCGTACCCTTGCTACCGTCGGTTGTAAGTGTTCTAACTAGCAAAATTAAACAGTATCCGCATAGGTGTTCTGGGACATATTATCAGGATGTTGTAGGAAAACTACATTCAGTAATTAACCCGGCAACGCCCTCATTATCAAGGAATATTTTGTCAAAGTTGAAATGCAAGCATTCATAAGGATTAAAATATATATACATAACAAAATACAAGCATACATACAAACTAAAGTTTGCGATCAGCTGTCCATAAACACATAACCCCACGCTACAGGGGCTACGAACGCGATCAGGTGGACGGAACGTAAACTGTTCACTAATATAATTCCCAGATTTCCACCATAGCAGTAAATCTACATGTACATGCATTTCGTGGAACTTAAATTGTTTAATCAGTGTTTTTAAGTAACGTGGCTTTGTTATGATGCTCGATGCTAAAAAAGCAAAATTTTACTGTGCAAAGAGCTGTTTTTGCTCTATCTAATGCATCTTATGTCATTTTTTTCATGGCTTCCTTTAATGATGGTCAATACGTATTGAACAAAGTAATGCATGAGTATCAGTTAATAAAAATTTACATTTCCGTTCAGCTAATTGAAAGGCAAAGTGGCAAAGTACACATCTTCCTTCTCTACCTTAGAAACAGTATTTCGCTCGCTGAATCTCGATTAAGTCATTTTGATATCAACGATAGTCGAGATAAACAACATTGTACAAGGCGGCGAACTGTACTGGTGGCTTTTCCACCTAGCAGATGTTGCCGGGTTAAAGGCTCCGTGTCTGGCTTCTTGTTCTGACGCTTTGTTTTTTCGTAGCGTGTGGTGGCTGCTATTTTCCTACATACTCCGCTCCGGTAACTCTTCAGTTAGATACCACCGCCGCCCCAGGATCTGCTGCAGTTTTCTGTCTATATCTTATTTCTGGTCCACCTGACAGCACATTAACGGTAACAACACTGTGCCCAATGGGTGTATCCTAACAAGATATTGTTAACAATATGATTATGGTTTTAATTTTGTTACAGCTCAGCTCAGTTTCCAACACTCTGGTGAGTGTCAAAAATATTTTTGTTGATAAAATTCTTATTCTGTACGTACGTAATCCACTTCTATCGAGAATCCAAGTAGGGAACAGCTGCACTCAAGATTGAGGCAGCAAATTATGTACTACAAAGCTCAAACTTTTGCTTTCATGCCATCGATACTGGACTACAAACACATCGTATACATTTTATTTTTATTATTCTAGCGAAATTTATAAATCGAGCTACTGACAATCAGAAGAGCTGAGCGCGGTTAACAACCAAAATTTACTGACAATTGCAGTTTTCTTCCTTTTCCACGGTTTTTGTAAATGGAATTCAATATTCCGCTGCAAAAGTCAACGGGTTTCCTCCTTTTCCAAACACTCTGACGCTACAGTCAAGCAGCGTGGTACGAACTCGTTTTATTTTATAAGGGAATAAACTCGAAACCGCGCCACGTAAAGGTAAATTTATTTCGATCTGTTATTTACGATCTACTGCAATATATCTCGTATCTCCAATCTACTGCGTCATCTTTTATATCAGTAGAACGAACAACCATTAATGTAGCTGGCGCTATGTGCAACCGAAATTAAAATATTCTTTTCAACTTACCAGTACACGAAGTTCTTTCATAAACCAGATGCCTATGTAGGGTATACTGTTCGCGTCTCTAGCAGGGGCTGGTGGAAGCTTGATCTTGAGCGCTTCGGCTACACCTGCAGCCGGATGACACTTCGATACCATTGGAAATTTGGAATTAACGTCTGATCAGGCATTCCAAAACGCTCATGCGGAAACGTTTTATTGTGCACTCGCATTTTTTTTATTCCTGGCGTTGGGGAATCTGTTAGAAGTCGTCTGATTTGGAAACTCAAATATCGATATGACTTGTTGGGCTGATATGCTTGATTTGAACAAAATACACGTATTGAACGGCTTGTATCTGCGTTAATAACCGTGTGGCAGTGTGCAGCACTTTGCACAATCATATACTGTTAAATCGTGATTATCGGATTACGTACGACTCGGGTGGCCGTTAAAAATGACAAGCGCAACAAAACGTAGTGGTACATTGTAAACTGTTTCAAAAACCCCATGACTTAGGTAATCATAGCGCTGATTAGTAACTACGAGCCTTAACATATGAGCACAATATAAAATCATGTACTGCACATTGCCATTACTCAGCTATGCTGCTGTACTAATCTACATAATATAAATGCTAGCTGTAATATCGTACAGTACTTTTCGAAAAACTTGGCGTGAAAATGAAATCGCTGAAATCACCAAGTATGATCAACAGCGGAAGTGCAGCATATTTTCCACACTTTACAGTGTTCAAGGGCAAAAAGTAACCGGATAATACAAATAGTCCATTTCAGGTAATTTCTGGCACTTACACTTTTTATGGTAAATGTTTTAATCACTGTTTTTAATTCTGCTCGCATGCCGTTTTTCAAACGGGTGGATTACTTAATTCTACACACTCTCCCGGTCGCCATAAGGAGCGGGAGTAAAGGAGCAGTAAGTTTTTACGGAATTGCGTTGCACGTAAGAAATCTTATGGATAAGTGAAAAATGACATTTTCGCGCAAAAAGCGAAGCCGACGTCCCTTTCTCTAAAAATACCGGTTGAAATAATAACTGTCTAGCCGGGTTTACTGTGCCGAGTTTGACGGTAATTATATAACCGCTAGCGAAAGCGAACGAGCGAACTTCTGACTTGGTACGAGTATAACAAGCCTTTTAGATGTCGGGAAAACAAAAATTTTCTTGGGAAAACGAACGATAAAATAAATATGAATAATCGAACGAATGAACGAAAATTTCATTATCTTAAATTTTGAGTAAAAGTTTTCGTAACTTTATTTCGGAAAACGCATGCCGGACTCCATTATTAAACTTTCGTCGAAAATTCAAATAGTGAAGTATCGACGATGCAGTCAAACATCCACCTCATATGCAATTCTTCCATTCTTAACCAACACTAGCAACTCATCCTTTTTTGTTTGAAAAGGGTGTTAACAACAAAATAAGTTTGCTTGTAGACTGAACAAAGTATTTTAAATGAATCGTATTGCTTACAAATCCCATTTGTAATACGGATTTTTATTAAAATTCCCATTCCGAAGTTTTGTTGGTTTTGGTATTGAACCCTCTAATTATACACAATTCTGAACGATGCGAAAATGCATAGCAGTTTATATTGGTTCGAATTTCATCAATCAGGCGCGCATAATGAAGCGACGAAATTAATGAAAATCGCAACGCTGAGTTTATTGAATTTTACTTCACCCTGTCGAACAAGTTACAACATTACAGTACCTATCACACAGTAACTGTAGACAGTAACTATCACAAAAACAAAATCGTAAGTTACGATTCGTAACTCAAACAAGGCAGACGCTGTATGCTAAACACAAGTACAGTTTAAAAGAAAAAGAACTCATGTTGCTAAAGCAAACCGGAACAACGCCGCTGCGCTCGACAGCCAGAAAAAAATCATGAAGCACATTACAATACATTATAATAAAAGTAATAAAATGTCGTGGTCGTACTTGTGGCTAATTCACATCTTGAAAACGTACGCAAAATCACGAAAGTCTAAGACCTTAAGGAAACAGCTCCTCCGTTTCCGCAAAAGTGCGAATGCGGTTGCTATAGCTTTTCGCAGCTTTCTCTGCCTCTTGTACACGTCCAGTCCAGCGGGAAGTCGGGTCTTCTCTGATCATTTGTCGCTGATTAGTTTTCACGCGCAATCTATATAAAACCAGTACACAGTTAAACACACAGAAAATCCTACTTGAAAATTGCAAAAAAAGGAGCAAAATTTCTTGATTAATACAATATACATGCTGTACAATAACAAGTTTAAGTAATCTATTTTTTTAATAATTATAGTTCAATAAATACTAATTTGTAATCCAATAAATTCGCAGTAATTATTGGCAGTGCCCAATATATATTTTAGGTAGTGCCCAACACAGATTTTTCTGGTATAAGGTACATTTCTGTACCGGCACAAGACATATGCTCGTAAAAACTAAAACTTTGTGTCTTACAGGACGAAAATTATGCCGATTTAAGGGGTATTGTGACTGATCATGACACGTATCATGTGTCGCTCAACGTAGGAAAAAAGTTTTGAAAAAATCATCAATGTCATAAAAGCTTTTAATAAGGCTTCATAATCGTTATAATTAGGTATTTCATAAAATAGGGTTTCTCACTTGCCCGTCTGAATCGCTTCGGCGATTTTTTTATGCCTGTTAGGCACAAGCTGCATCAGCTTGCAGGTAATAAGAATAATTAGCTATAACCAATTAAGGGTTGGGCATGATAGCAAGCCATGGTGTCTGCATTCGATCGAAAAAATGCGGTAACCGATTTGGATGGTACAGGTGTTTGTCCAAAATTCGCATAGCGGTTACGCAAGTGTAACTTTGCGTAAGGAAGCGCATTTGTACCGGAAAAACAATTAAGTGGCAGTAAAGGAAATTTCAGAGTACACATCGCAGTGGCTCCAATCGTACGACATTATACAAAAACAGTAAGCAGTATAAAAAATTCATAATTAACATAATTTGAAATTGGACTTAATTAACATAATTGGATTTAATTAACATAATTTGAATTTAATTAACATAATAAAGAATAAGACTTAATCTTACTCAACGTGCGTGGCTTAATCCAGCCGCTGCACTAGGCGCTGTCGCTACACTGAATTACTTAGCGAATGGTCAACGGGTGGTGTTAGGATTTTTAATAGGAAAAGTAATACGAGTACACAGTAGGAATCGTAAAGGCTAAATGTTTCCATTGCGCCCTAACTGTCGGCGTCCCACCATTACGTCTGACATTACCCAGCAAGACGGAAAACAAGTATTCTCAGTATAATTCCCTCGGAAAATGAACACTTTGTCGGATACATCCTTCCTGTCGGCACAGTAATTATCATCTACCGTATATTATCCGTTTGCCGTTGATTACCTCGTCTCCAGGCGTAATTTTTTCTTGCGGCTTGGTTGTACTTGTAATTTTTTTTATTATCAACTTGTACAAGCCAGTGCCATTTACATCAAACTTTGATTACCCCATAATCAGAACAAGAAAAATAACTCTTCTAACTCTCGAGAACACCCGACCGTCCCCAGGACAGAAGCCGCGTTTCCGCGCTGAATTTCCACACTTATACGTTGCCACAAATACTGAACAGCGCGCGCGTCTCCTGTTTGTTCTTTGATACGCCGGCCGACTTCATTGATGAACTGGCGGGTACTTTCGCCTCAACTTCCCATGGTTTCGAGTGCCCCTGGCTGGAAAAAATGCCGATCAGTGAGTTCGGAATAGAGGTTTCGCTTCCGTACTTCCGCGTCTTCAGCAGCCGCTCCCGCTGTTTCTGAACAGCCAGCTACATACGAAGTAGCGAATGTGTCACAAACTGTCACATCCCATATCAGAGGGATCGGCTGCTAAAACTTGTAACATGTGTATAATTATATGTCTCTCATTTAGGACTAAAAATTAATATCCGCATTACAATCGGTCTTCGCGTGAGTTTTGAACAGATCATATAACAATCCAAAAATTACCATAAAATATAGTACAATACCACCGTATTACCGCGAAATCGCGTATTTGGGAACTACTTTGGAACGTGCGTATTTTGGAACTGTAATCTTTACTTATTTTAAAAGAGCTGCACCGGAACCGTTCCACACCGTTGCCGGTAGATGTTCCAGAATGATTCTCGATGTTTTAATTGTTTTTATCCTTGATTTGGATGAGTACAATTCTGGCTGCAGCTTCTGTCCTAATGAATTTCACAGTATTACTTGAAATGCTTAAAAAGAACCAAAGTAAAATAACGCTGCTAGAAACGGACAGCTCACTTCCTGGTGCGTACTGCCGCACTTCCAGGACTAAGAATGATACGACACAGTTTGCAGAAGATACGATACAGCAGATTCATGTTAGAACTGTTGTTACCGTTAAAGTCTGTGAGGCGGACCAACGATAATATAAAGACAGCGCGATGATGCTGTTCCTAACTTCCTAGTGTGTCGGCCAGGATTTCAAGGGTTGCCGGAGTAGAGAACGTAGGAACGCACATTTCCCGCATTCTACCAAACAAAAGACAATGTTAGGCTATGGAATTCAATTTATATGTATCTACCGTAGTTTGATAATTAATGATCTAGGGCCACGATTTTTTTCAAGCTTCCCAGAGGAGATGTTCTTCGTTTTTTGTGACAGGGAAACATTTTAACAATGCGTTTATGACGTGGAAGGGGACGGTATCTGTACGGAGACACTAGTTGATAAAATACGGTACTAACGCTTTCCCTATTAGAACGCATGCTGTTGGAAAAGCTTTATTAAAACACTAACGACTGACGGTAGGAGAGCCTGTGCCCATGACCATAGCGCCCTTTGTAGCGCAACTGGTATCCGGCGCCGCCGTTGTAGTCGTGCTGGTATGTCCCTTAGACTAAAACTTAGGCCTCGTCCCCTTTCTAAAGCGTATCTCGTTACGATACAGCACCGTATCTAGTTTCGTTACAGTACAGAAGTTACAGTTTCGTTACAGTACTGTTTGGTGCGCGCCACCAGGATGCAGTACGGACTACGCACATCGAAACCGGGCTCGCTATCGGTTTCCTGTATCGAATCTCTAGCTTTGGCTCCGTATTACTGTACTTGCGTCCCATCGCTTCGATCGCATATCGCACTGTTTACCAGTTTTTTTGTGCCTTTTTATGTCATTGGCTAAAAATTTGAGGTATGTTGTCTTTGACATCATCATCCGTCGTGGCTGATGAGCCAGATCGGCCGCAAACCATCCGCGCAATTTATTTCCACATCCACATTACAACATCCACATCCACATTATCCACTTAATATCCACATTACAATCGGCCTCTGCGTGATATTTGAACAGACCATAGAATAATCCAGAAATTACTATAAAATGCGGTACAATACCAAAGTGGTACTACCGCGAAATCGTGCGTGTTTTGGAACTGTGTTCTGTTTACTTATTTTAAAACAGCTGCACTCGGAACCTTTCCACAGATACCGGTGCCGGCAGATCCGTATGTTTCAGAATGAGTCCTGATGCTTTTATCCTAATTTTGAATAGATATCACAGGCTTCTGTCGTAATGAATTATGATATATCATATGGTACACAAAATTATTTGAGAACCTTAAAAGAAAAATAACGCACTTGTGAGAACCGATTCTAACATGAATCAAGTCATAAGACTTTTCGCATTCAGCAAAACTGGATGCAGCTGGCTTTCTGCAACGAGGATCGGGCCGCTCGCGAGCATTGGGTAGACTGCGTGAACCGTTCAGAAAGGTCATAGACTCATGGCTGCTAGTCTGCTACGAATGTACCTCAAACTTATACCTTTCATGAAGATACGAGCCAGCATTAGTTACACTTTGAGATTTTTTACTCGTTAGTTATCCCGCCGAACGTGAAACAGAAGACACCGCTTCCTGAGTACGAGCGTAGCGGCTGCGAAAATAACGAGGCACAAAACGACTGGTTCGCCGGGGGTTTTGCTGCCGCTGGAAAGGTCACCACCGGCGGTGCAGCCAATGGTTCGCGGTCGAAATTCAGGCCAGGACTGGGCCGCCCTTTCTCCAACTGCCTTCGCATGGCAGAGCGTGGGCGGTAGGCTACTGGACGGTGTTTGGTAGCGTCGAATTGTAACCACCAAATCTGCAAATATTCTCAGTTAATCGCAATTACGGTTGATTTTAAAGACGATTACAAGCAGAATTAAGGCAGAGAGTAATATTATGTACTGCATTTTAGAATATAGATACAAACAAAATAGTTACAAAAAGAAGTCAAGCCAAAGTAAACCGGGAGGAATAAGAACAGAGAATAACTGGTCTAAGTTTGCTCCCCGGGAGCTGTTCTGAACGGAGGCTCATGTTACGCAATGATAATTTTAAATTATATAACGTCACAGTACAATACACAGTGTGACCTATATGGCACAAAACATGATGTGATCCTGCCACGAACATTATGAGTAATAAAGTTGTCTTGTCTGCATATGTACAACGATAATTGTACACGAGGAAATCCTTACGCAATATTCTACTTGTCCCAGTTTGGCGAAACCGTAAAATTATTAGGCAGCATGTCCGTAGAAACTGAGACAAATAGAAAATCGTTTTATTAAGCAATAGTCACTATAGTAAAGAAAAGTGCAAGCGCGGACACTCTACTTCACAGCTAAAACTAGACGTTGATAAAACGTTGAAGTAGAATACAATACATTATGTACAATACATACAAATATAACAACTATCAATGAGAATGCAGTATTTTAACTCTGATAATATATACTACGAATAGAGTACGTAGTAGAGTCCAAATGATTAAAAACCGGTTGTAGCTGCCACATACAGGTACTGTGCAATGTTGTCTTTTACCGAATCGCAGTCTGCACTCTGCACCGGTTTGTCTAGCAGTGCCATGTCTATCTGTCTGTTCTTTGTTATGAATATTCTTTTAGTACTTGTAAAGTACAATTAGTTGTACTTGCACTGGAATTTTTAATTTTTAAACGGTATTATTTTTAACGGTATTAAGTTAAAGGGGGGCATAAAATTTGCGAGAAAAGGTACACTGTATACATTTTTTACGAAGACGTGGTGCAGTGGAAGACATGATTAAATGTTACTAATGATACTAGTTATTTTTATTCAAGCAATAGCCAATTAACATTACAAAAAACCGGCGCTGATAGACACTAATCAAAAAGTTCAAATTACTTATTATTAACATAGCTTATTAGCGGTATTCTGCTAGTAGCAGGAGCATAATTCCTGCAATTATACAAGAATGACACAAATCCAGATCGTGCTTTGCTTGGTGTCTGCACAGTAAGCAGAAAGATATCGCGACTCACGAGTTAGGTATCTACTGCAAATCCGTGTTTGAAGAATATTTTGATATTTGTATTTAATAAATATTCAGTAAGCAATGTATAACATAACCCTATTTCTACATCTCTCTTGCGCGTTGTTGTGAAGGAAGTTTACTACGTATGTCACCTTGAAAACTAGCAGTACTTTGAACATGTTAATTCATTCTTTTCATGTCTGGGAAAGCGGTGCCGGCTTTGTTAATTAATACACCTGCTTTCCCATTACACAGCCAAAACTTTTAAAAAGAAATCCTGACGCAACCATAAAAAAACTAGACCATCCGGATGAATAATAATCATTGTCTCAATGTCTACTTACAAATTACTAATAAATAATTTTGACAGTGGAAACTGGTTTACTATGCCAATATTCTCTGTAACTCACGCCAGTAACCCGGTATAGCTTCTGATTTCCCCTGCCAAACCGCATTACGACGACACCAGTGTCGCACATTACAGCACACTACCAGTACACCTTAATTCCTTTGCGAAGAAATCCATTATCACAACGGCCGATGAATATGTAAAATATATTCATCCATTATGTACAATACGCCGCTGCAGGCCTTTCTAATACTTCCCCTGCATATCTCAAAACATAATATAAGAATCCTTCTGCTCGTTATTCACATCGCAGTAGCAAAAGTTGTAAAAATTAATTCTGGGTAATAAAGGAATTTATTTTCTGACCGGCAACCATGATGAAAGCCGTGGTGATCGTGTGTCTTGCCGCTATGGCGACCGCCCAGCAGCAGTTCGTGTGGGACCTGCTGAAGCCGGCGCTGAACGCGGCGGAAGTGCAGGCCATCTTAGCGAACCGCGACGCTAACCAGTACCCTGTGTACAACGCCATTCCGCAGACGGGCTTCAGCTGCGCCAGCAAGAAGCAGCCGGGATTCTACGCCGACACCGAGGCGCAGTGCCAGGTCTTCCACCGCTGCGACATCAACGGCAACCAGACCAGCTACCTCTGCGTCAACAGTACCGTCTTCAACCAAGTCACGCTCATCTGCGACTACTTCTTCAATGTCGACTGCCAAAAGTAAGCCGAAAGATATTATTTTAAAAAATACTTATGTTGATTGGATTTATTGATCCAGTTTTATTTTTTTCACTGTATATTGGCTTTTTACATGTACTTACTTTTGCTTTAAAGGAACATAACGCATTTAACTGTATACTAACGTTTGTACCGTAAATATTAACATTCCAAAGCTGTTATAAAATAAAGCTAGAATAATTATTTTATTTAAATTAGTATATGTCATTTCATTCATACAAACTTTTGTCTCTGGCAGGTTTGCTTCGTACGAAAACTTCGCCAACTCTCGCCTGTACACTGACCAGCCCCTCTTCGACACGCCCCCAAATGACTATGTCCCGCCCGGTGTGGGAGCCCCCCAGATTCTGGCGGCGCAACCTGCCGCGCCCCGTGCCGCCCCCTCCCGTGCCGCGCCCAAGAAAGCTGCTGCGGGCGGCAAGAAGGGATGGGCTACGTAGTGATTTGTACGTTTCTTATGTCTGAATGAAGAAGGAGGCGATTGCTAATTACGAATAACCAATGGTCTCAATGGCGATTAAATAAAAATCAGACGCGAACAAAATTCTTTGTAATATTAGTACTACAATCAAATCGCTCAAGCAAATCCAAAAAAAGACTAATATTTGATAATCTAAGGAAATTGAGCTGGTGCACTATACCAAATTCGTGTGCACATAATCCTATGGAGTAAATGTGTAAACGGCTGTTATAAATAAATAACGTAAATGCAGTGATTTCAATCAAAACCACAAAAACCTTAAATACGGTTGAGGTACTTGCATTATGCACGTACTTCAGCTGCTACAAATGTAGGCGCAAGCGTTTCTACAGATAGAAGAGATCTTTACATAACGATGTACACTGTACAGTGTGCAAAAAAATAAACGCAAATTTCCCGCAGTATTGTAGCGGTAGTATTGGTATCACCTGTAAGACCACGAGTTATGATGCATGGCATTAGAAGTTCCTGTCTGCTTTACCGGTTAGTTTTCCTTCTCCTAAATTTCTTGAATTCTGTCATGCATTCGCTTGCATATTGATCGTCCTGCTTGCACCAAACCTTGCTCTGTTTCTTGTATGCACTTGTCATTAAGCATGCCGTGAATTATGTTGTTTGTTTGACCGCTTGGGATAGACCAGCGTTGACCCACCTTCAGGCCGCTTTAGAATTACTCACGCAACAACAATCCCTATTCCCTGGTGACGGGAAGAAGCCCCATCTAGGAAGCGGCATGCGCATTCGCTATAGAAAAAAATCACGAGCTGCACGTGCAGCGTCGTGACGCCGTCATAATTCATCGCCTAATATGTAGCTGATTCTGGGTAACATTCTTTTTCTACTGCCTACTTATAGGCATTTTATTGATTTTTCCTTAACAGTGTAGTTCTTTTCTTATTTAAAAGATCGGCTAAGGCGGCGGCCTAAAACTGGAGGGCATTACGAGTGCGTTGAATGTCGTTTTCCTAAATGACACAAACATAACCAAATTAGAACACATAAGCGGAACAAACGAAACGCGTAATCCGGTACACAAACAGACTAATTAATTTTAATACAAGCTTGCAATTGCAGCGTCAACGACTGAGCGCGACAAGCTAGCCGGACAACAACGTAAAGCTCTGAAAATCATCACTGATTACAAGATGCCGGTTACTCCGGAACTGTATCAAAAGCTGGGTAAGCAATTGTGCTGAATACTTCTAACTTCCGATCGTAGATGTGCAGGTCAAAAAGATATGAGCACACGTGTTTACCACGCTATAATCCGCATTTACTATGAACGTCGATAAAAAAAGGTTGAACGAAGAAGACGTTGAAACTGCACAACGAAAAACATTACGACTACATTGTGCACAATGACGTGCACAATGACATCAAATCGCCAGAAATATCCATTTCAAATATAAAGCCCAGTAGCGCCAGCATCTAAATGCTTATGTGATGCAGTAGTAACGATTGACTGCATGTTTTAGATTTTGGCGAATACGAGTAGTTCGATGCCACCGTCCACCATTCATGGCTTACCGTCCACGCTCCGTCTTGCGGAGGCAGCTGGAGAAAAGACGACCTAATCCTGGTTTAAATTTCGACCGCGAACCATTGGTTGGACGCCTGGACAACCAGTAGGGACCTTTCAACCGGCAGCGAAACCACCAGTTAACCAGTCGTCTGCCTCGTCCTTTTCGCAGTTGTTACGTCGTACTCTGGAGGTGGCGCCAAGGGCAGCGGTGAGCGCTCGGAAGGCTACGAAGCGGAGAAAATTGAACGGTATTTTCTTCCGTATCTGATGCAAGGAATGCGATTTTAATGCATTTATTATTCGTGCAGTTTGCGGCAAAAGTAACGGATAACCGTCGTCGAATGTAAATAAAGCCTTCTGCCTTCATGGGTAACACCGTTTTCTGGAGAATTCCTTGGTTTCGTATAAGCTGATCTTTCCGTAACTGTCCAAATAATCTTTTTACAATGGGCAGGCCATGCTTGGATGCAGAAAACCGATCGTATTACTGTTATGTAAACAACAAGATATTGTATATCACGTGAGCAGAGAAAAAGCTCATCAGCAAACATTTCCATCAGCAAACTTGCATGATTTTAAGGGAAGATGATAGGTGCCATATCGATCGTCTGCGCCATTCGCAAAGGTGCCACAAGTTTCATCATTATCCTTCCTTTGATAGACACGTTTTTACAAGGTTTTTGTCTAGTTTAGATAATTATTCAACTAGTGAAAGAGCATGCGTCTACATGACGCTTATTAGCCAAATCTCTGCACATGATTATTTTGACATGCATATTTTCAATTTTAACGAATACTTAATCGATGCGCCTTCTCTTCATCGTGGCGATAATTATAGCTCAAAGATATTGCAGACAGGGAATCGGGACGGCAATAAAACCTGAGGCACAGAGTCAGTCTGCCGTAGGAAGTTGACCTTTTTAAAATCGTTCATCCGGTATACAGTTTAATATGAACAGCACTAGCCCAATATCAGCGAAGGATTCGCTCCTCGACGCTAAGCCGGCTTTGACATGGACGCCACTGATCGGCGGACAGGTGTTGGTCATCGGTTTATCTCTGCTTATCCAACATCCTGGTGCTCATCGAGTTCCTGCGCATTCCATCGCGTATGACGCCTTTCACGGTCTACCTGATCGTTCTCCTGGCCATCAACATCATTTACGTCAATTTCGTCCCTTTAACGGAACTCCTAAACAACCTGTACGGACCCTGGTGGATGGGGCGGGCCATATGCAACATCCACAACTACTTCAACAGCGTCGGCGCATCCCAGATCGTTCTGCACGTCAACATCTGTCTCAACCGCCTGTGGGCGGTGGCATATCCGCACTCGTACAAACAGTATCACAGTAAGAAAGTGGCGCTGCTAACCTGTGCCATCGCGGTGGCGGTTGTCCACGTAATCGCCTCCCCGGTTGTATTGCAGATATGCTGTATTACGCTATTGATTTGCGGTTGGGCTGTCATATCAATTATCTTGGGCAAAAGCTGTGGGGACAATTCGAGATTGTCTTGCTTCATATTCTGCCGCTGGTGTTGATTATCACTAATTAATTTATATTAATATATGTTCTTTAACAAAGATTTACTGCTTGGAAATTATCGCTAAATTAAAATTTTAATTTTTCATTTTTTTTGTTATCAGTTTCTTATACGTAGTTTTGCTTCCAGAAAAGTAAGACTGAACTTTTTATGAGCACTAACCGCAAAAAAAAGGAAGACCTAAACCGTTATAAAGTAACATTGTAACATAAGTCATAAATTATGTTATTAAATTACATACTGTACAAATTTTGTCGCTTCAGGTTTTCGTCGTACGAAAACTTTGCCAACTCCCGTCTATACACCGACCAGCCCCTCTTCGACACGCCCCCCAATGATTACGTCCCGCGCGGCGTTGGAGCCCCTCAAATTCAGGCGGCGCAACCTGCCGCGCCCCGTGCCGCCCCTAAGACAGCTGCAGCGGGCGGCAAAAAGGGAATTCGACGGAACTGTGGGACCTGTGGGCGCTGAACGTGGCGGAAGTGCAGGCCATCTTAGCCAACCGCAACGCCAATCAGTATCCGACCTACAACGCCATTCCGCAGACGGGCATCAGCTGCGCCAGCAAGAGGCAGCCGGGATTCTACACCGACACCAAGGTGCAGTGCCAGGTCTTTCACCTCTGAGCTGAGTGGACTTTATAATGATTTGTACCTTTACGCGTGAAAGCAGAAAAATGCGGTTGCTAGTTGCGAAAACCAAAGATGTCGATCCGGATTAATAAAAAACCCGAAAAGAAGAATTCTCGGCTTCTCCCGAAAAGAAGAATTTCAAGCCCATAAGGCGCCCCGGAAAGCTCCCCGTCGTATGCCGTGTAAGCCGCAAAGTGTAGGTCATATAAACGGGGTGACTGGCGCTGATTGCGCTTGGGCGGAATGTAATATACGGTGTCGCTGGGACTGCCCATCATCCCGTGCGACTGGTTGCGCGGACCAGGGCGTTCCTGGCGCAGGAGCTGCATTAGGGACTGCGTGTGCAGAGAGATCTGTTGGGTATGCGATATACCAGTCAGAGATAACAGAACCATGAAGAAGGAATGCAGTCCCTAAATAACAAAACAGCGCCGTATATATTCGAATAAAATAAAAGAATTACAATATAAACAAATAAAAATAAATGAAAATAAACAGGACAAGCAAAAATATGTATATAAAAAAATAAACTTGTGAATAAATAAAAAAAGAAATAAATAGAAATAAATAAAACACAATGCGATAAAAAAATGAGAATGATAATTCCTGAAATAGTTCCAGAATTTCATACTTCCGTTAAATCCATTGTGCCGGTTAGTTTAGTGTAACAAAACGCGCCAGATCCGCACCGGCCGATAAAAACACAGATGTAGATTATAAGACAAAACTGAATTTTGTACACAGTGACTGCTCTATGTACCTTTTCCAACGCGGTATCGTTCAACCAACAATATGCATGTATATCTCCACATGCATGCAAATGACGATAATTTTAGTGTAAACTGGCTTTTGTGCCGGTTACGATTCCCTGTGTAATTTTGAGCAATGAACTTATTCAACGCTCGGAGGGGGTTAAGTGGTGTCCACGTGCCGTGGAGAAGGACTGTAGCCAATGTTAGCGCTGGTTACAATTGTGTCAGTCGTTGTTGATGATTTTCTGTGTACACCGTTATGGATTGCATAATATTCGGCGTTAATGAACTTGAGTGGGGACCGGTGCGCGCTGAGTATACTTTGCTCACCCGTCCACTGACTTATAACGAGCGTGAGTATCTTTGTCTTGCCGATCTATAAATGTACAGTATAAACTACTTTGTACACTTCCTGCAATTGCCCATATTTTCTTGTCAAGAGCATATTAAGTTTTAGTTTTTTACGACATTTACTTTCATTTGACAGACGCCTTAAAACCGAACGCTGGTGGAGACAATTACCTGGAAAATAAAAACCGTTATATCTAGAAATGACATCTTACATGATTTATTCAATTCCGTAATCTGATCAGAAATGCAGTAAATGCATCAGTATTATTAGAACTCCATTACGTAACACCTTAGCACATAATTACAAAAAAAAACTTGCGCATCTGTTTATGGTACAGATACATAAGCATTGATTATTAGAAAAGGCCGCAGAAACCGCTAAACACAGGTGGGTACAAGTGTATGTGCAGTACATAAGTAGACACTTAACAAAAATCGAAATTCAATCGTCGGAATTATTAATGCTACAGCCTTTTAATATACGTATACAAGGAGTTTGCCGGTATTTTCCTCAAAGATAACGACGCCTATTGAGTACAGAAACCGCGTCCGGTGTCGACATCGGCCATACAGATGCCGCGGCAGCAGAATCCCCCGTCACTGCCATCCGGTCGGCAGGCGGCGCCCTTCATCAGGCAGGTGCCGGTGGGGTCGGCCGCATTGCACAGTACCAGCAGCATCAGCAGTACAATCATAAAATATGCGACAGTACGCAGCATTTCTGAACGTGGTAAAGACAGACGGGAAAATAAAGAACGGTATTTTGCGGGTTGAAATAATTGTTTTTGCTCTAAATTCTAGGGGTACACTAATTTTATAGTTGAAAAACGGTGGACGCTATTGCCACGATTTAGGCCCTTTTAGCGGCATGCTGTACGCGATGTCCATCTGTTTATATCGTGTATGGGAAGTTCCGCTGATGTACCATTTGCAGCGATTAATATCAGCGGAGCAGAGTATCGTACTATCTTTTATAGTTCGTGTAGTTGATCTTACACAAATCAGTAAAAAGTTACAATATGCACCGTCGAAAAAGAGATATCATCGTTGTCTTTTCTGATTTAGTTTACCGTATCAGGCAATCTGTCAGAAATCGTGCTGTATATATCGACAAAAATAATACTGTAATACTATTATACTAAGCAGGCAATACAAAATATCATAATACTGTGCAGATATATAATACTATAATTAAGCAAGCGCAATCTTTCCAAAACAAGGGAAAATATTTAATTGCTTATTATATTTCAAACAACTCCGTAATATTTCAAACAACGGCGCATTCCGCATATCATACTGCCGATTTCTAAATGCCACTCTATTATCTAATCATTCGTAATAATTTATAACCGGTATGAAAAGCTGGCAAAGCCGAGCGCTGTGTGAAGTGATTTTTAATTATGAGTGCGTCCGTTCGTTGGGCATTTGATAAAGTAAACACCAAGAGCGAAGCCGCCATGGCTTAGTTGGTAAAGCGTCTGCCTAGTAAGCAGAAGATCATGGGTTCGAGTCCCATTGGTGGCTTTTTTAGCGTAAAGCCCTGGTTCTTTTTTTCTAAATGAAACACCCAACCGTCGCGCAGCCCCTTTCCAGCTCGTGCGTTGTTTTTACCGTTTTTATTTGTGCGGCGTTCTGCTGGATAGGCTCTATATATTGTACAATAGCCAGTTCGTGAATATACTTGATGATATGACCGCGATCGATCAGCGGTGCGCCGGAAATCGATGCGCACTGTACCTCTATACAACTAAACATATACTTAACTTTGACATTTGACAAAGAATAAACCGATGTGGTTTTGTTGCTATGCATTTTACAAATGCATTCTTAACCTTCCAAAGCCGGGTACCAGAAGGTGTGGGAATACCAGTTTGAAAACTGGAATTCCTCGACCCAGAAAATCCAGTTAAGAAAAAAGTTTTTTTGTGGAATTTTTCTGGCCATAGGTCAAGCAGGACACCACGATGCCAAAATTTCGGTGCAAAACTTCGATGCCAAAATTTGCTTAAACAAATGCTGCGCTCCGGTCTGCCAACGCGCGCAAATGTGCATTTTTGTAGTTAAATACAAAAATAAACAAACATAATTATTAAGTTTCTTAAATACTATTTGTACTAACAGACAATGGCATAAGCAAGTCTGCAACTGCGATCAATATTGTTTCAAGAAAATTTGTTTCTTTATGTTATTTGTTTAAACTAGTATTAAATAAATTTATTTTGGCGCCGCCATAATACGCACATAGGCTGTTCCGAAGGAATGAGTACATAATAGTACATAGTACATAGTGCCGCAGCGTAGCGTAGTAATGCACTGCGTAGCTACGTTGTACAGTTGCACTTACGCTGAAATTTTTCTTCAGCTCAAGCTCATAAAGTGACTAATGCCATAATATTAATTTTCATGTACCGTATTACCGTACGCGCAGAATACAGTAATATCAATGGCTATTTATTACGACCACGCAACACAGTTAGAAGTATGACCAACGTAGCAGGGTCTGTGGTTTCCGTGGTAACCAAATTGCCTTGCTTAGTCTGACAAAAGGGATACCAGCTATACTTCCTTAAATATAATATTATTATTCTGCTTATTAGTTTCACGTATTCAGCCTGCGATCTCTTTCTCGCCAGCATTTACACCGGTCACAGACCACACGTTATACCCGATTAGGATAATGGTTATTGCAGTATATGTTAGCGCGTTTGCACGTTTGTTGTCGTTACAACTCGCTGATATCGCAATTCGCAGGTATGGTTTAATTATTTGAATTTCAATGTGCCTGGAAGAACTGAAGCTGGACTGAAGTTGAACTGAGCTGGACGTGTTGACTGTTGACTGATGTGGGCCTTCGACCTTCGTTATGGGGTCCTGGTCCATCCATCTTCCGTTTCAGAAAGCGGTCAGTAAACCGCTGACTTTTCACTGTAGACGGTTTCTGCATGTTGGTGGTCCCTGTTGAAAGTAAGTTTTACAAGCTGTGGTGCACGATATCTTGTTAATCAAGCCCTTGAGGTGTCGTCTGGGGAAAATACTGCGAAGACACGCAGCGAATACTGAAGTAGTCAAAACGTGGTAAAAGGTGATGAGAATAGCTGGTTTAAGTAATGCCAGGGTGATTAACGGCATTCATTTCGTTAATCTGCCGTTCTACATCCCTTTGCTCGGTTGATTTTCTTTTGTTTTATCGAAAAATGTTGCGCAAATCCGGAGACCGACTACTTAGCTCGCGAAGGACTTATATGTACCAGTTTACTGAGGATCGTTTGCCCGTTAATCGTTCGTTTCGTTTTGCTGCGTAATGCATGACTGAAGCTTACAGAGTATAAAGAAAATCTAAAATACCTATAAATCGAGAATCACTAGGAACTTTCTGATCACACCGGTCGCCGGCTTGAGTGCCCTGAATTGTGCCATATGTTTTCGCCATGCGTACACATCCGTACATTCGTAATTTTGTCTGGTCAAACCCTAACCATGCAACAGCCACTTTTTTATAGCATTCGGCCAAGTCTGCAGGATATTTGCAGGATAAGTGCATCAGGATAGATACAAGTACAATTACTGTATGTTAGCTGTAAAAGATCAGTGCGTCCGTGGTTTTTCTCTTTGGATGGTTGCAAACTTGCACGATGGTATGAATTTCCATTATGCATCCGATGTCGATGTCGATGCCGTAGTTGTATTGTTTACGCCCTGGTCCGCGCTCCAGTTATGCGGAAGAAAGCAATCGGTTTAATCCCCATAGAACCACATAATGCCTAACTTGGACATTCTGTGTTTCTTCCGGATGGACTGCAGGTTTTTATACGACCTGTTGCACAGACAATTTATGCTGTTTTGCACATATTATACAAAATAAAGAAAGAATTTTTGGTCTTGGATTGCTGAGTTTCTTCCTGTTTCGCTCCTCCCGTGAAGGCTGCGATGCGAATTTCGTCACGACCGCAGATGCGAAGTCGTAGTTCAAAGTCTTATCCCGTAAACGGTTGGCAGATTCCACTAGTGAGTCCTTCGTCTGGTGCTTGCACCATATGGAAGAATTCGGACCTTCCGGTGTGCTTGAGATCACTTTCAGATAGATGGTGTCGAGCAACTTCGTCGCTTTCAGACTCTCTGACACTCTCAGGCTTGGATCCCGTACGTGGCGTGACCGCCTTTCACAAAGCTTCAAATGGGCGCGTTTCTAAGCTGTTGAGCAACACTCTGTGGGCTATCGTCGAACGGTGGCCCGCAAGGCTAATAGAACTGGTGAATCTTTTCTTCCATGGGATCCAGCGCATCGTGGCGCGATCAAATTTTTGCAACGTTAGTGGAACATTAGTTGTGGACACTCTGACGTACCTCTTAAGTTGCTTACAGCCTTTTTACTCATTGAGCAACTGTTTTATTAATAATACTAATTTATTAACAAATGAACAACATTGCAATCATGGCTGCTATGTCAATACACCACAGTAATAATACTGACCTTTCCGGTGCCAGACAGCACCACGTTCCTGAAAATGTTCGGATCTTTTACACATATTTCGTTTAAAACGTGATTAATCATTCCCTCATCGGCACTTCCACCACGATTCACTTTTTCCGCTTTGTTGCGGACGTTTTGTATGTCCTGGACTGTAAGCTTTGCCGGTCTTTTTAGCTATTTGCCGTTGAATTGCCCTGTGAGGGATGAAAGATTTCTGCAAATGTGCCGTCTTCTCTGCTTGAACATGGCTAAGGCGGCGATTTTCCGGTGGATTTTTCCACCTTTTTTCTGTTAGTGGATAGTTATGGCCCATTTCCTGTTCAAATATTCGTAGGACGTGGCCGCGAAGGTCAAAGTAGCCTGACGCCAGCTGGGCAGTGGTGTCGTCGGCTGTGAGTAAACTCCCGAGCTCCAACGCCCTTCTTTTCGTATTCTCTATGGTGTACACAATCGTAAAATATCTTTTTTGTTGACCAGGAAAGGCGTGTCCCTTCTCGAAACTTCTCGGACCGTCGTATTATGAATGTTTGGAAAGTGGCGTTCTGGTATGTCTTAGGTCTTTCTCGAATTCTTCGAAAGACGGGTATTCATTCACCCTTCAGGTCATGGAGATTTTCGAGTGAGGGGAATACTGAATACCCAGATCACGGCTTCCGGTGGTTCCGGTACCGGAGGGCAGCTTGAACCCGTCATAATATGAAATCTGCTGGTACTAAACATAAAATTACTGGTGCATTTCCAATACGATAGAGAGAAAGTTTTTATACTATACAGTTTTCAGACAGTGTACAACTACAATCACTACACTGAATAATAATTATTTTACGTATCTGTTTTTTAATTGTTAGCTACTTAGTTCTGGAACTGCATATACTTATGTAGTAGTACGTACCAGTATGTACGTCGTACATAATTATCGGCAAGACACGCACTTTTATATTGCCCGCGTCTCACGTCTCCACTCCATATTTATTACATTTGAAGCAGCGTAGCACGGTCAAATTAAGATATTCTGGCGGTGTCCAGCCTTAGGTAGCATATGTACAGGTACAGTGCTTCCTTGTTAGAGCTAGTCTTGTGCCTCTGCATTGTCGTCCCAAACCAGAAACCATTTCCTCAGACCCGCTGAGAGCCTTGCGTCGATGCACAACGTTGACCGGATCCATACTGCCACGGTAAAACAAGTTTCCCCCGTCAAAGCACCTTGTTTTAAATTTCAAAAATTATTGGCGCGTTTCGTATGTTTTGCCGATTGTCATGGTGTCCAGTTGAGGAATATCGTCGGAAAATTAATTCTGTTACTATCATGCTGGTATTGTCGCAGCAAGTTTCTCTTTCTCAAGATAAAAAAAACAAGATGGAAATAGTGTACGCAAC